TGACTCACGCATCAGCAGGGGCGCTTACTCATCGGAGGAGCCCGGACTTAGCATGACTCAGGTATCAGTCATGAGGACATCATGTGACAGGTCAGGAGGCAGGACATGAGTCAGCAGACTCTGACCAAGCAGGGACAAATAGGTACCTGGTCTGTGCACCATTGCATTTGTATAAAAATAGTAGGGAGTCTGAGGCAGGGAACCTCAGACTTGATCTTCTCGTCGATCCCCCATCTCCTCTGTAGGTAGCTAGCAGCCCTACCTCTCACTGCCCCTTCTAGTCTAGGGAATCTACTTCGTTGCATCATCTCTTGCTGTGTCACTTGGAGTTGCTTCGCCCCTCAGCACCAACCCCATCACCAGTAAGCTTGTCTTTGTTTATCTGGTGGCACAGCTCGTTGGCCGTGACACATGTGGATGAACTTCACATCCAGGGGGGTAAGCCTCACGCGCTTTCCACCTGCTTTGGACACAGCCTTGTCAGCATTGGTGGAAGTTACGGAACGGGCAGATTCCATCAGCGCCTCGTAGGCTTGGCCCTCGCTAGGAACTTCCCTAGCTAGTCAGATCTTCATCCAGTGATTCGATCCACGTAGACACACCTTTGCTCTTATCGAGAACGTAAACACTTCCAAAGGTGGCGCCCCTCCGTTCGACACGTCGCTTATAGTCAGCAGGTGTGAACGCCTCCTCGTCGATGTCCTGTTCAGCCCATTCGCAGATGAGGTCAGGACCAGCCGCGTACGTCAGGCCGGCGAAGTCCACCACCTGATCGAGTTGAAGGAGTAACTTCTCCCCCAGCTTGTGAGCCAGGTACTCAGCTGTGGGGGAAACAGTCACCGTCTGCACTCTTTAGAACTAACGAGACTCACCCAAACCCTGCATCTTGTCCCAATTGTAGCCATTGATGCTATCGCAGATCGCATCGTGGCGGGCACCCCCGTTCATCTCGCGAGTCGCGACGCCGATCTCGTTCAGAATAGCCCAGGCGATCTCGACCGTCTCGCCGTTGCTGTGGCCGGTACCTTGCTTGTAGCACATTGCGAAATCGATCTGACAACTCTCCTTGTGGGCGAGCATGTGCATTTGCGGGAGGAGGATTTTCATGCATGCGAGGACCTTGCGCATCTCCAGGGGCAGGTTCCACTCGTCCCACCTGTTCATAAGGCCGACGAGGTACGTACATCCCATATCGTAGCTGAGCAAGTGCTCAAGCAGCTTGTACGCGCTCTCAAAGGCCCCACACATAGCCAAATCTACGAGGTGGAATCTAGAGACCCAGTGGTCAGGAGCGGGACCCTGGCGTTTAGCAAGAAGCAGGGACTCACTGCTCGTTCCCAACAAGATCAACCACCGCTCTAGAGAAGAAACAACCATGGCGAAGACAGGTAATCGCGACCACCCCGCTGATGTCCATGTTGCGGAACTTGCCCGCTCGTTGGGATCGAGTGACCTTGAACCCACTGCATGTTTGTACCTGGTTTTGAATGCTGAGTATGGGTATGATCAGATAAGCATGTGAAGCATCCTCACCACAGTGCGATCCTTCGACGTCTTCTTAGCAAAGGCAGCCATCTTTTCTGCGTCAGCGAAAAACGCACGACCACCAGCCAAACTGTAGTCGGTCTTGTCATCACGCTTAGACTTTTTGTGCAAACTGTGGTTGCCGTCCGCGCCCATGAAGATGCGATAGATGTATCTGACAAACGCCGCCGCTTAAGCAAGACAGCACATGAGACGTGTTCTGTGAGGCACACACCGCAGATCCCGTGAGGTGTTCTCCCAATCCTCAGGGAGGTTCACCCCAGGCCAAGGGCATGCGAAGCAAGGGACAGTGATCAAGTCTTCCCGGCGGTTGGGGTACTTCACTCCATGGCACATGCCTGAGCGCTTACACATCTGCAGGTGGCGCCATATTCAGAATGCTACGTTGAACTCCCGGTACCGGTTCTGCGTTGGTAAGGTCAACCAAGAGTAAGCGTACTTCAGTCCCAGTGAGACGTACCTTGCTCTTCGCCGAAGTCGCGTGTCTGGTCTTCCTCTCAAGCTTCTTTATATATGCATGCGGTGGCTTCTTCGACGTGAGGATGTCAATGTGTGCGTCCCGTAGAACCGCATGAGTGAATAGGGTCTGCGGGAGGTCGATGGTCCCGGGGAATAGATAGGCGTTCAGAGCCTGATCAATGAGACCTGGACAGCGAAGACATGCACATGGTTGAATCTTGCACCTGTGGATGCCATTGGTGTGGACGACGACAAAGGCGAGGGGTGGCTCCCTCCCTCTCAGCCGCTCTGGGCAAGGTGCCCCCTGGTGGCCCAGCCATCGAACGTAATCGAGGTCCATGAGGTCTGTGCGTACAAGATACCTGCCGTTCCACATGAGAATCCAATGATACGGGTGGTGTCGGTGCTGGTCAACTATGCAGGATCGGCAGAGGGCAAGGGAATCAGCACACTCATTGCAGCACGCAACAGCGGCCTGGGGGGCGTGGCAACTCTGGCAGTCGCCACCAGGGATAAGTGG